CTCCAACATCATAGCTCAAAGGCATCAATTCTTCTTGTGCCATCCTTATACATTGTCCAACTCTAAGATAAAATAGCAAGTGATTGAAAAGACCATGGCCTGAACTAGGCAAACCTTAGTCCTCAAACTGTAATCATTGCTCCGAAATAATTTGGAGAAGTTTTAGACTGCAGATTTTCCCAGTGCAACAAGTCTCCTGGTCTCCTGACTGCCGCTACCAAGGGTGTTGATTATGAATCATTGTACCATAAACAATTGTTTGACACTGAAATAATACAGGAAGTACTGTATGATCAAAAGCTAGTGGTAATGAAGGAAGAAGTTGAAGCCATATTAAAGACATTGGCACAAAATTAGGCCCCAGGAAATGATGGGATACCAAGTGACATGATTCAATTAACAGATGAAGCTCTGCATGTACGTACACATTTATGCCAACTATCTGGCCAACTGACTGGAAGAGATCCATATTTGTTCCTATTCCCAAGAAAGTTAATTCAGCAGAATGTGGAAATTATCAAGCAATATCATTAATATTACATGTGAGCAAAATACTACTGAAAAACATTAAAAAATGGCTAGAGCATTACAGACAGAGGACTACCAGAAGTTCAAGCTGGATTTAGAAGAGGTCATGGCACCAGGGCATGACATCATTGCTGATGTCAGATGGGTCCTGGCTGAAAGAATATATATACGAGAAGAATATATATTTGTGTTTCATTGATTATGTAAAATCATTTGACTGTTTGGCTTATAACAAATTATGTCTAGCATTAAGAAGAATGGGAATCCTAGAACATTTAATTGTGCTCATGAAAAACTTATACCTAGACCAAGAGGCTGTTTGTTGCGTGAACAGAGCAAGGGGATACCACATGTTTTAAAATTAAGAAAGGTATGAATAAGGGTTGTATCCTTTCTCCATATAGATTCAATCTGCATGCCGAGCATATTATTCAAGAAATAGGACTCTCTGAAGAAGAATGTGGCATCAGGATTGGAGGAAGACTCATCAGTGACATTTGTTACACACTTGTTTCAGAAGACCAAAGAATACAGCCTTCAATATGGATTGCATTTCAAAGTCAAGAAAGTAAAGGTTCTCATCACTGAACCAATAAGCAACATCATAATAGGTGGAGAAAAGACTGAAAAGTAACAATTTCAGCTTACTTATATCCACAATCAACCCTCTTTGGTCCAGCAGTCAAGAAATCAAAAGGCATTTTGCATAGGGAAAATCTATTGTCAAGGATCTTTCTCCAAAATGTTAGAGACCAACTGGTCCAAACCATGGTACTTTCAATTGCTTACTATGCATCTCAAAGTTAGACTATGAGTAAAGGAGACTGAAAAGATTGATATTTCACGGCTTGACAAATGAACAAACAAGTATGTCTTGAAGGAAGTACAACCAGAGTGTTCCTTTGGAGGCAAAGATGGTGAAACATATTGTCATAAACTTTGCGTATGTTGTCAAGAGGAACCAGACCTTCACAAAAAAGGCATCATCCTGGGAAAGGTGGAGGGTTAAAAAAAAATAGGAAGATCCTCAAGGAGAGGGATTGACACAGAGATTGTAACAACAGTCTTGAGCCTGTTGGCGATCCTGGAGGTGATGCAGGGTAGGGCCAGGTTTAGATCTGTTGTTCACAGAGCTACTATGAATTAGTTGACTCAATGTCATCTAATAGCAACAAACAGTGAGTCAGAATCAGCTCAGTGGCAACTAGATTTTTAGGGGTTTTCCTCCTATTGTTCAGAAAAAAGATGGTCATTAATCAACAAGGCCTACCAGAAGGAAGTGGGTTTTAGCAATGATGGGGAGCCTTTCCCCCCTCTTTTCTTCTGTTTCTGAAAGGCTGTGCAATCTTTGCCTGATGCAAAAGCAGAAAGCACAAAGAACAAGCAAATTATCAGAGCCATGAAGTCACAGCATTCATCTCAGCTTCTTGGCCCAAGGGCACCACCCCAAGGGCTTTCACAGCAGGAAACATGAGCTCATGATAAGTTAAGCTTGTGGACTGAGAGAGCCATTCTTGGGCTCCAGGGTACAGAAAAGGCAAGAGCCAAACTCCCAGGACAGTGATTTTTATGAGATCTGAGGGGGAAGGTATTCACTCCCACCCCAGAGGCAGAGAACAGTCACTAGTGTAAGGAAGAGATATTTTTGACCAAGCGACAATAAGTGAGGGAAGTGTGGATTCCAGAGATTGAAGTCACTGCTGGACAGCCTTGTGTGTGAGAAGGAGATTCCGCTGACTCGCCTGCTGCAGGCACTGGCCACACTCCCAATTCCTTTATCTTTAGAATGATCTCATCAAGTCTTCACAACAATCATCCTCATTTTTCTACTCTCCCTTGCTCCTCAATGCTCTCATGTATACAACTATGCAAAAAAGCTCAGCTGCTTGGTAATCATGAACTAGATTTCTTCCCCACTGCATTAAATTGTTCCCCACTCGGGTTTCCCAGGCTGTAAGTTTATAGGAGGATATTGTTCATTTTAATTCCAAGGAACAAGCTGATGGATTTGAATCGCCACCCATAGAGCTATTAAGACGTAACTGTCCTAGCCTCTTCTCCCATTCAAGGTAGTCGGATAAACTGTTGTTCTTAGTTGCCACTAAGTAGCTTCAGACACACAGGAAAATAAGCATGCAAAGTAGAACCGATTTCCAAAGGAGTTTCAAGGCTGTGACCTTTCAGAAACAGGTCCCTGCATTTCTCTTTTGAGGCATCTCTGAATAGGTTCTAACCTCCAATTTTTCAGCTAATAACTGAGTGCTTAACTCTGCACAACCCAAGGACTCTAAATGACCGAGTGGATGTGTTTGTCAGTATTGTAGAGAACGGAACATGTGGGAATCCCGGGCGCCAAGCTAACACTGAGACAGAGGGACCCCTCAGCTCACCGTTAGACTACATCCCGCAGGTCCCCACACCACTAACACTCATTGCATTTTGCGCTGGATCAAAAAATGACCGCTTCTCCTTCCAATGTCCATCTTTTCCTCCCTAGACCCTTACTCTGACAAAGATACTGAAAAAAGTCACTCTAATCCAAGGTTCTCAGCCTCAGCTCTGCCGGTGTTGTGGGCCTAGTGATTGTTTGTGGCTGGAACTGTCCTATGAATTGCAGGGTGCTGCTCAGTCTCCATGCTTTCCACCCACTAGATGTCGGCAGCATCTGGACTCTATTTGTCACCATCTAAAATGTCCCTGGACATGCCCAGGGTCTCTGTGGGGCAACATTATCCTCGCTTGAGAGCCACTGCTCTAATCCTACAAATTCCAACAGGCACCTCAACAGAAGAGCTAGGAAACCATATAAAAGTGGACTGTGAACTCAGGGTAGGGGCGAGGATTGTATAACAATGAAGGAAAGAAAATGTGCAACAATGAATGAATGAATGAATGAATGGGGGGATTAAATGGAAAGAATATGCTGTAAAAAAAAAATATATATATATATGTTGTACTGAAAAAGCATTAATAAAAAAAAGGAAGAGCTAGAAACCACATGTGTATGGCTTATACCGTAAATGCTCACCAGTGGGATGTGGTAAAACCACACTTAGAGGCATCTACCTCAACAACCAATGACTGCTCTTTGACATCGTGCAAACATTCTGGGAGATGAGGGAGATATACAATATGAAGATAGCAGCAAAATAACTTAAAATCACTTTCCAAGAGTTAGACTACAATTAATGGTTACTAGATACAGCACAAGTAGAACATTGTTGCTTAATTGGTACCCAGCATCTGTTTGGGGTGATGAAAAAGTTTTGGAACCAGATTATGATGTTTGCATAATGGTATGAATGGAACTTAATGTCACAGAATTGCACACTTAAAATGGTAAATTTTATGTTACAAGCCTTTTATCACAATAAAATAAGTTGAAAAACTTAAAAAGACAGTGACATTCCTGCGCATGGACCATACAACGCTTGAAAACCTCACACATCTGTCGAAAAAGGTCCAATTAAATAACTGATTGCATGAGACTAGAGGATTACGGACACAGCATTTCTTTCACTTAAAGTTTTATTGCCATGTGGATAGTTAATATAAAAAAACCTCGGCATGGCACAAACAGCTACCATGTATGGCCAAAGGCTTCTCAGAAGAAAGGTCTGGTGACCTATTTCTGAAAATCCTATGGAACACAGCTTTACTCTGACACACATGGAGCCACCAAGAGTCAGAAGTGACTCAATGACATTTTCAAAAATAAACACAAAATGAAGAAAATTTCTGTCGCCCCATAATTATACACTTTTAATTCATTGTTGTTAGGTGTCATCGAGTAGAAGATGACTCATAGTGACCCTATAACCAAGCTATCTGAACCCTGTTCTATTCTGTGCCATCCTCACGCTTCCTGTCACACTAGAGCTCACTGCACCAGTCACTGTGTCAATGTACCTGGTTGAGGGTCTTCCTCTTTTTTGCTGACCCTCCACCTTTCCAAGCCTGATGTCCTTCTTCAAGGAATAGCCCCTCCTAGCAACATGCTAACAGTATGTGAGACAAAGCTTTATCATCCTTGCCTCCAAGAAGCACTCTGGCTGTACCTTCCCCAAGACATATCTATTTTTTCTTTTCGCATTCCATGAGATATTTAGTATTCTTCTCTAATACCACACCTCAAAGGCATTCATTCTTCTTCTGTCATTCATATTCATTGTTCAGCTCTCAGATGCATAGAAAGTGATTGAAAAGGCCATGACCTGCATCAAATGCACCTCAGTCCTCATTATTAATTTGCTGCAATTACTCTCAAATGTTCTACCTCGCCATTTTAACCAGCAAAAGAGAGAGGACACTTATAAAACCACAAATCCACATTTTGCCCCTCCTGCTCACTATCTTCATTTTCAACAGGGGAAAGAGTTACTTCGGGAGTGTGGCCACCCTCATCATTTATCTTAGTAGTCCCTAGGCAAGCAATTGGATAGGGCAGATATACACTGTTGAGCTGAACTTACCTCAGCCTTCAGCATGGTGGTTTGAGGGTTTCCACTTTGAGTATATTGAGTTTCCGTATAGCTTGGAGCAAAAAGGTCCCTGAAAGGAAAAAAAATAGATACTTTATGTTTTGGGTTTTATCTTCCTGGTAACACCAAGTGCTGTTGTGAGTTGTCCACTACAACCCATAGGAACTCTGTAAACACCAACTCACTCACTTATCGCCATTGAACCAGAACTGACTTATAACTTGTGCTCCAGTGACTTTTAGAGGTTGTAAATCGCACAGGAGATTGTCCATCTTTCTCCGCAGGAACATCTAATAGATTCGAACTGGCTGCCTTTGAGATGGCAAAGCAACTCCTGTCCTACTAATCCGTCAGAACGCCCTGAACAATAACGAACAAATTTAAATGAACCAGACAGTACCACCCAAGCATCTCCATGTAGAGGAAAACAGGCTGAGGAATGAATAGACAAATAGAGGGATATCTATCATTAACTCCAGATTTCTTTCATCATAACTAGATAAAGAGGAAAAAACCTAAAGCAATGGTCCCAAACATTTTCTGGTTCTTAGCAAATACAGATGTAAAGTCATGCACAAAATATCTTAGGCTTCATGAATTCAACTTTTTACCTTTATTGATTTGTGAGCATTATTTCTATTTTTTATTACCAATGTTGTTGTTATTGTTGTTAAGTGCCATTGAGTCATAGATGACTCAAAGCAACCCTATGAACGAAAGTCCTGAACATGTATAACTTCTATCATTTCTCTAAATTCATAGAGTTTCCAGAGGCAAGCTATTTCAGAAGTGGATGCCACTCCTGCTTCCAAGCTTGTTTTAATTTGGGAGCTCCATCAGACAGTCTCCACCATGGGCAAACATTATCACATTTGACACATCAGTGTCACAGTGTTTACCATAACAGCAATCATAATAGTTACTGTCCTACAACAAATTGACAGTCCAGTGCTATAAGCACTGAGAAGAATGTTTGACTAAAAACAATTAAAACTAGGCCCAGTTCCCACCCATGGGTGTGTGTGTGTGTGTGTGTGTGTGTGTGTGTGTGTGTGTGTGTGTGATAAATGCCTTTTTAAATACAGGCTAAATCAAATCAGCTCACACCCCAAATGCCTTTTTAAATACAGGCTAAATCAAATCAGCTCACACCCTATTGCAAACAATAGTCCCACCCATGCCTCAGCCAAAACAGAAAACACACCTTATTGCAAATAATAGTCCCACCCATGCCTCAGCCAAAACAGAAAACCTTTGCCTTTGTAGAATCCAGCTGCTCCATTCACCTCAAACTGGAAACCAAATGTCTTTTTAAATATAAGGAGGCAAATAAACACTTAAATTTTTCTTTAAGACAGTAACTCCTTCATTATAGGGACTCTGTTGGCATAGTCTATAGGGAGCTGTACTGCTAACCCAAAAGGTATTCTCCTCTGGCAGTTCAAAGCTACCAGCATCTTTGAGAAAGTAAGATGGACAATGTCCTCCCACTCAATTTACAACCTCAGAAACCTAGTGGAGGGTCAGCTAAAAGTCAGTTTCAGCACAACAGCAATAAGGTTTTTGGTTGTTGTTACATGTCATTTATGAGACTGTCAATCAAGATGTTCTACCTGGTCATGGTTAAGGGGTAGCCTATGATCCAAGCCAAGACAATGGAATATTGTGACAAGTTCTGAGCAGATAAAAACTATTCATCTATTTCTTTATTTCTGGTACATGGATGCCTGGAGTTGCCTCTGCCTGTCCTTGCCAAGACCTGGTAATTTAGATTTCCTGACAGGATAATTTTTTACATTACTCTTTCAGTAAGTTCTCTATGCCACCCACCTCCCCTAAATTGAACACTGGTTTCTTTCGCTTGCTCCAGACTCCTTGGAGAGGAAATAAGAATCTCTCAACAAAGACAAGACAATATCAAGTAAAGTTTCTAGAATTTCTCTGGAAGTTAAAAAAAAAAACAAAACAAAAAAACCAAACACAAACAAACAAACACACCAAAAAACCCAAATAGATATTTCAATTAGTTCAGTCACATTAAAAGCAGAATAGATTTATAGCCAAGGTCAAGGGGCAAAAAGATTCCTGATGAACAGAACCATTCCAAAAGAATGATGTGGATGTATTTGCATTAATGTGGAAAGATGTTTAAACGGGAGTTACATAAAAAACAGTAAGTTACAGAAAATTTTATGTTTGAAGGTCCATTTTAATGAAACAATGATAATGGCATGCAGTAAAAATTATCAGAGTAACAAAGGTTCATTCTCAACAGTGGTTATCCCGAGGGACTAAAGAAGATGTTCATTATCTAAGTTACAGATGTCTGAGATGGTTTGAATTTTTTTCTAATTATTATGCATTTATTTTGAAAGTGGAAAAAATTAAATTAAAACTAATTTCTAACAAAGAAGAAAATGGAGGCTGAGGTCAGCACAAAACGCCGAGGAGTCTTCAGAGATGACGTAGGTTTTGGAAGAGGTGGCATTTTCCAGAAAGTGAGGGTCAACTGAGAGAGTTCTTCTAGTTACCCCCAGCTCTGGGACTCCGGACTCTCAGATTCCTGACTCCCTCCTCCCTCAGTGTGATGAAAAATGCCACAAGAATTATCTCTTGTAATATGTCAAGCCTACAACGGTTACGCTTGGACAAAGAAGGGAAAATAAACTTAATAGAAACTGTGAAAATAGAGCAATTACTGAAACCCAACTTGTATAGAGAAAATGGAAATTTTCATATGGAAAATTTGGGTTGGTGACTAATGCGTGAGATTCTGTGCCCCCTGCCCTTTCTCTTTCTCAGTGTCTAACCGGGATCCCAGAGAGTGGTCAGCTACTCACCTGGGGGAGATAAACCATAGACATCATCAGGACAGAAACTTTCTATTTGTTCAATGAAAGAACTAAATAATTATAGAATGAATGAATGAATGAACGAGTGGTTTGACATACTAATAGTTTAGAATATGGTCTGAAATCCGAGAGACTGAGCTTTTCATTTCAGTGTTGATATTTATTGTCTCTAGTCAAGAGCAAGTTACTTTTTATTTTATCCTTGAGCCTCTGTTTTCTCTTCTGGGGGAAAAAAAGAGGTTATTATGTCTATTTGAGGGACCTCTGACAGGATCGGTTGTTTTTACAAAATACGTGTAAAGTGGAGCTCAATAAAAGTTAAAAGCTCCTCTTCCTTGTCAAGGAACCCTGGAGTCATACTTTGTAGGGAGTTGTGCAAAGCTGGAGTTGTCCAAAGGCAGCAAACTCTCTGACAGTTCAACTTTTTTTTTTTTTGACAGTTCAATATTTATCATCAGCTCCTCAGGAGAAAGATGGGCCCCTCCTGTGAGACATACAGCCTCTGAAAACTTGCTAGACGGTCAGTTCTGAGTCAGTCCCAACTCGACACCAAGAAAGAGAGAGAGAAAATGTAGGGTGAAATCTGACTCTTAACAACCCCCAGAACAGAGTGGAATTGCCTATAGCATTTTGAAACTTTATAAAAGCAGACTATCCAATCTTTTCTCCATTGGGAGCCTAGTGGATCCAAACCACTGATCTTTGAGTGCTTCAGCCTTGGTATCACCAGAGCTCCTCCAATAAACATTGCTGATTACCAGAACAGATTCTAGCAGGGACTGATGCAAGAACCCAGGAAAAACAGACAGAATTTGCCTGCTCCTTCTCCCCCCACATCAGCACTTTCCCACCGCCTTTTGTTGTCAGGTGTCATCGAGTTGATTTCTGAGTGTGACAGACCTGTCTCATAGAATTCTCTTTATGGAAGAAGATCACTAAGTCTTTTCTCATGCTTTTCTGCACGGTACAGTCAAATCCCCAATCCCAGTTAGTGACTGAGCACTTGAGTGTCATGCCAGCAGGATTTCTTCCCCTGGTACTATTGCTAGATGTTGTGGAGTCATCTTTAAACCCTGCCTGAGCCTTTCCCATAAACTTGTCTAAAAACACAACCAGGCCCCCACCCTGACCTACTTAGTTAAGTAGAAACTCTGTGGTTGAGACCCAACCACCTGTTTATAAGAACCCTCCAGGTACTCTAATACATGCTCACATTGAGAACCACACCCTAGACCATAAGCTAAGCTTTCAACAGACTTTTAGTGCTGACAGATATCTACCAAGATCTCCTTGTCTGAGCTCCCATAACCCACCCACTTCTACTATATCTGCGATCATCCTGAACCCAGAAACCCCTGGAAGATTACAGTCATAACCATTAACAGGAACTTGCTATGTTAAGAAACTGACCCATGGTGTCACAGTAGAACTGGACTCCATTGTGTTATAAAGCTTGACATTTCAGAAGTAGATCATCAGGCCTGTTTTCCAAAGATTCTCTGGGTGGACTTGAACCTTCAACTTCTCCATGACTTACTGAGCATTTTAATCATTTTCCTGACGAAGACCTCCCTCTAAAACAAAAAAACCAACACCACCTCCCAAAAAAAATGCTGCCTTCACGTTGATTCCGACTCCTAAAAACCCCCTTACATTTCATAGTAGAACTATTCCATTGAGTTTCCAATGGCTGTGACCATTTAGAAGTGTATCATCAAGTCTTTGTTCTTGGTGGACTAGAACCTGCAACCTCTCAGTTAGCAGGGAAAAAATTTACCATCAGAGGCATCAGGGGTAAGTAAAGGGTAGAATTACGAATGGGAGGTGTTATTGCTTTTAAGCATTGTCCAGTTGACTTAACTTTTAGCAACTCTATGAACAACAGATGTGGACCTTGCCCTATCGTGCACCACGTTCACAAGATCTGGTATGCTCAACTCCACTGTCACAGTCTCTGTGTCAATCTATCTTGGTGGGAATTTTTTTTTTCTCATACACTGTTACCCCACCATTCTCTGTATGATGTTCTTTTCCAAGGCCTGGTCCTTCTGGTAACATGCTTAAAATATGGAGACAAAGTTTCACCATCCTTGCCTTTATGGAGCACCCTGGTTGCACCTTCTCCTCCAAGACAGATTTCTTTCTTCTTTTGGCAGTCCATGGTATGGTGAATTCTCTTCCCTAAAATCCCAATTCAAAGGAGGCTATTTTACTTCTG